AAGGCTGGGGATGAGGGTTGAACCAACGTCTCCAGAATTTTGAAAAACTACCACTGTGGGGTCTCCGGGAGCAAGAGCCCCGATAACAAGAGCTCCAGCAAGAGGACATCTTCAACTCTCAAGTGTCTCTTGCCAAGTGAAGTGGCTGTTGGGCTGCTGCTAGACTGTGGCTGCCTGGTTACGGGGGGTTCTAAGTTCTTTAGGGAAGTGACCTCATTTCCTGTGATCCCCTTCCCTGAGTCCCCTCCTCGAATAACAGATATCCAAATAGTCCTCAGGGTTGCTGACGGCTCACACCCCTTCTCCATGGAATACATATCAGTCCCCACTGACACCAACACGCCTTCCTCCACAGCCGCCTACGAGGTCAGGGTACAGCCAGGGTCCAAGATTTGAGGAGATAGACCTGGGTTCAGACTCAACCCCTCATTCTTTCTTCTTCTTGGTCCTGGACAAGCCATGGTGGCTGTCAGAGCCTGTCCGTCTCCTGCCTGCACAGTGGATTATGCAGCATGTTCGTCTTGGAAATAATGTTCAGGCCCATGGGGGAGAGCAGCTGTAAAGTTGGAGGAGTGCTGTCATGTGGAAGAAGTGCCTCCGACCTGTTTTTGCTTTCTCTTGTCACCTCTTCTATGTCTGCTCTTCTTAGTATCCCTCCCATAGTCATTACAGCTAAAGCCAAGGGCCATCTGGATACTTACAACACCATCCAAGGGCCATGCAAAATGTCACCTTAAAAATCAGCCTTCTGTATTTGGTCAAACATTTAATTAACTCGCCCCTAATGCCTTGGCAGGGCCAGACCGAATGATTTTGTGGGCCTTATACAGGCCGCGGGCCGGACATTCCCCACCCCTGACCTAGAGTGTGTGTGTGTGTGTGTGTGTGTGTGTGGGTGTGTGTGTGTGTACACTCTCACACATGTCAGTGCTCACTTACTGGATCCCAGAGAAAAAAAACAAAAAACACAGTCCTCACATAGGCAGGAATAGGCAAGAGTTTCCCAAATGTTAGGATTTCTAATTTTCAAACCAACCCTATGGGACAAGTTGGAGCCTTTGCCTGGAAGGTCACAACACTCCTGACCTCTGGACTCTGCCTGTCATGCACCTTGGCCAGTCTCCACCTCTGTATGGGCAGCAATCATCCAATTTAGAGTGAGATTCAAACCTGCAGAAGCATGAGCTCTGCATAAAGGAGCCCCCAGCTCCCTCCACCCTGGTGGCTGTGGAGAGGAAGGCACCCCATATTCCCTGACCGGGCCTGTCCTCAGACAAGGACTGGCTAAATGCTCGTCTGGACTGCCAAATGCTCACCCTCTCCCCTGTGCCATCTCCATGGCTGCACATGGTTCTATCAGCACAGTCTTTTCCAGAGCCCCTGAGAAAGCCTGGGTGCAGCCAGGACCCCAACTGTGAGGACACCATTGTCTCTGTGATTCTGGGCAGAGCAGGGGCCTTTCAGAACCGTCCACTTCTCCCCCGAGTGGCTCCCCACGACTCACATCTCCTGGAGGACACATCCTCCTGTGATGTGGATGGTGCCCTTCCCTTAAGTGTGGCCTCCATTAGTGACTCCCTAGGAGACAGCAAAGTGACCCAAGGTCACTTCCAAGATTTGCTTATAAAATATCAGTGCCTAACCACTTGCTCACTCTGATCTGTGTGTCTCTCTCTCTCTCAGGTCCCTCATTCTGGGGACTCGGCCTCTGTGCTATGACTTGCTGTCTGAAGAGACCCACATGGCCTCGCACCGAGGGGAAGTCAGGCCTTCAATCCAAGCTGAATCCTGCCCAAGACCCCCCCCCTCCCCCCGCAATGAGCTCAGATCCTGAGTGAAACAGATCCTGCCTCAGTTGAGACCGCAGCCCCAACCTCCTGGGAATCACTGGCAGAAATACTCAGCTGAGCCTCGCGGGATTCCCCGTCCAAGAGACTGAGATAATGAGTGTTTCCTGATTGTCACTAAGTGATGGTAACGTTGTCACACGGCAATAGATCACTAATACGGTTGCCCCTGCACCAGGCCCTGGACCAGTCCTCCTCCCTCCCACCCTCCCTCCCCTATCTCCTCCCAGGCTCCCTCCAGCCACACCCACCTCCTTTCTAAGCTCCTCTCTGTCCAGACACCTTCTGCCTGCAAGTGTCTGCACAGTTGTGCCTTCTGTCAGGAGAAATGTGCCTGAGTATCAGGGAGCCGCGGAAGGAGTCATCCACATGGACAAATGACTCGCCCACCGAGTTTCCTGCAGGTGGGACAGAGGAGATTTTGGAGGCAGTTGCCTCATTTCTCCCTGAAGAATGTGGCCTGATTGGGGGGTTAGCAGGAGACTGTGAGTAGGAGGTAGGGCGTGACCCAGCTGGGTGATGGGATCCTCAAGGAGGGGAGCTACTGAAGCAGCAGGGACATGCCTAGAGGTGGCCCCGGATGTGCAGGTGAGAGCTGACTGGCCTCCTGGCACCTGGAGAGGCCCCATCTGCGCTTGCTCAGGCAGCCCCTGTGTCTTGCTTCTTCTAAATGCTCGGCCTCTACCACCTTGCCTGGCCGGAAAGAGCCTGTGGGTAACGGCAGGTCTCTTTCCGCGGCTAGTGGAGTGGACGGTCACTGATGACTCAGCATGAGCTCTCCGCTTCTCCCTCGTGCCCTCTCCTCCCCGCTCCTCTTCAGTCCTGTCTTCTCACTTGCTGCCCAGACACTCTCTGGACTCCAGCACTAGCTTTACTCCTCATGCCTGGAACAGCCCTCCCTCTGTGCTTTCCCCAGACACCCAGCTCCCAGCATTTAGCAAACCATTGCGAGGATCAGCTCAGCAGACAGGGTGGCTCTCATCTCCACAGGGACACCACACAGGCTAAAACACACACACACACACACACACACACACACACACACACACACAGGACACAGGACAAGGGATCCAGTCCTCTGGGCACTGCTGAGTGACCCATTCAGTGACCAGTGCCCATGTGCCCCCAATGCCCTCCACAGAATGCCTACTTCAGTGGTGCCATCTCCCCTTTGTCCCTGGGGTTATGCTGGGCAGGAGCGTGTGGGCATGAGGCACCGTGTTCACACCTCGGCTCCTGCTCCCTGCAGATCCTGATCGCAGCTTGAGAAGGGAAAGCATGGCTGAGCCAGCAGAATGCTCTGCACTGCTGACCCTGGGACCTGGCACGCTGGCTGCACTAGGGAGCAGGGGCAGAGGTGGACAGAGGCCCTGCTGAGAGAGGCGGTCAGTTATGCTGGAGGCCAGAGGGAGGGCACCCTCCTGGCACAGTCCTGGGAAAGTCACACACATGCAGGGGCAGAGGTGGACAGAGGCCCTGCTGAGAGAGGTGGTCAGTTATGCTGTCCGCCGGAGGGAGGGCACCCTCCTGGCACATTCCTGGCAAAGTCCCCCCATGAGAACCCACAATTACATTCACCAAGAAGGGGCAGTTCTGACAGCATAAGTAGCCAAAGAAAAGCAGGAAACAGGCTGTATCTGGGCAAAAGAGACATTTTATTGTTTCTTGTGGTTTCTGGGGGCCTCAGGCTGGGCTGGGCTCAGTGTCCTCCACCTGAACAGGGCGGGGTTACAGAACAGGGCGGGGCTCCGTGGCTCTGATTGTGGTAGTCGGTGGCTATGACTCCCAACACCGACAGAAACTCGGAAAACTCGATCTTCTTATCCTTATTCTTGTCCTTTTCCTCAAAGATATGGTCCAAGAAATCATTGCCCTTTTTGTCCTGTGGGAAAGACACGAAACAAGACAAATTCAATCCCAAAAGTGTTATGGGTAGAATAGGAGGAGAAGGAGGCAGAGAGGGGGAGAGAAGACCTGGGGCTGCACAGGTGTAGCTGGTGTGAGTCAGTGGGGGTCCTGGGGATGCGGGGGGCGGGGGGGGACACATTAGCATTACCCTGCAGGTCACTGAGGGAGATTCCTTGGCCCAAGTGTCAACATGAATGAGAGAACTAGTAGTGGTGAGGCTCTGATCAATGAGCTGGTGGGTAGGTGGTCTTTAGACCCAGACCCACTCCCCCCATCCACTTCCAGGACCCCATCTACCTAAGTTTTATCCAGAAACTAGAGATAGGCCCTATCCTTGTCTCTTCATTCCTAACCCTCCTCTCCTATCTCTTATTTGCCTTCCCGAATCTTCCATGCTCAGTGCCCTCTTTTGCTCCCTACTCTCTGTGTCACCTAGTAGCCTCTCTTTTTCTAATCAGTTCAGTGCATTCTAACTGTCAGACTAAGTCAGGTCTATGAAGGAGCTCTTTCATTGTAATGAAAGGTGTTAAATTTTATCAGCCATGGGATTTCTATCACCTTCCCTTGGATCTCAGAGAACCGAATGGAGGCTTCTAGAGGCAGAGCCTGAGCCTATGGGCTTCAGTCTCCTGGATGGAGAGTGACAAGTGGGAGGGGACCCGTTCTTTACTCTCCTATTTCACCACCTGATAACTACCCTTCATCTCCAGATGCCTTTACACTTGGCCACATGTATTATCTCTTTCATCCTGATAATAAGTCAGGAGAGTCCTCTTAGGCCTTTTTGCAGATGAGAATATTGAGGATCAGAGAATGGGGTTGACTTGTCCAAGGTCCCACAGCAAAGTGTCCTCTGGCATGCCAGGACCTGGAGAAGTCACCCAGACTCACACAAGCCTTGAGGAATATAGGGAAATTCTCCTTCAGCATCTTCAGCAGGCCCCGCTTGTCAATCTTGTCATCAGGTTTGGTGTATTTGTGGAACAGGACGACCAAGTCCATCACGGACTTCTCAACTTGAGTTTGGCTCATCTTGGTTTTCGAAGAAGCTGTCAGAGAGAAAGACAGGGACCTTTATTATCTTTCCCCCGAGGTGAGGGACCCTAAGTCAGAACAACGGGGTGGGAACTGAGCATCCAGTGAAGTGAGGCTCAGGTGGGAGCAGAAGGAGCTGTATCACCCTAGGAGGTGGGATGAGACGCTCACAAGGAGGAGAGTGTGACCCAGGCCATGCAGGTCAGGGCCCAGAAGAGATGGGGGAGAACACAGAAGCCCACTGTGGACGGAACCACAGGAGGCAGAAGCAGAGAGGGCAGAGAGGGTAGGGGATCAACCACTTTGTACCGGACTGAAGTCTTAGTTGGGACCTGAGCCAACTAAGGACGACTCCACTCTTCAAAGAACATCAAATCCATCAGGGTCAACATCAGGGTTGGAGTCACCGAGACAGAATAACTTCCTGACTAGTCTGGTCTGACCCGCCCTGGCTGCTCTTGGAACAAGATCCCAGAAAGAGCCCATCCTGAACATAAAGCAAGCTGTCAGTGAAACGGGCCCTGGAGGCTCCCCGCGGGGAGTGGAGTAGGATGGTGAGGGTGAGCAGAGAAGCACAGCCCTGTCCTGAGCTCCCACAGAGGTTTTCCTGGACCATCCCCACCAGTGGGAAGAAGGGACTGCTGAACAGAATTGGCTTCATATTTGAAATAAGCAGAAATACCTGCTTCAGTTTTAGACTCTGGGGGGGTGGGGGGAATGTGGGGAGATAGGCTCCTTCAGATGACCTTTGTACCTCCCTGCTCTCTGGAACCCCAAAACTAGACCATATTTAAGTAAAGAGGTCTGACTTCCCAAAGCCGGTACCTCCACCAACAGTCTGGACCCCAAGCAGAGAAATGGGACAGTGCAGCCCTCACACCCCAGACTTTCCAAAGCACCCAGAAACGTGCATGAATCACACGTGTGGGCATCTAACACAAACTACCATTGTCTCCTGATCTGGGAGAAAGATCCTTGCTGCTATGTCCCTAAGTGGAACCAGCTGAGGCCTTCTGTCAACTTGACCAAGGCGAGAGCTGAGCCTTGTGCACAGAAGGTCACTGGTCATTCCCTCAGCTGGGCACAAGGTCCAAAAGCTTAGTTGATGGGTCTCTGACCATGTAGTGGCAGGTCTTCTCACCAGGGCAAGGTGAGTGGGCATCACTGACCTGGGTTGAGGAGAAACTTCAAGACTTTGGTAGAGACACCCACTCTCCCAAGGTTGGGATGCACAGTGGGTCCTCACCAAACTGGGACCTGACAGTCAGGTGAGTCCAGAGAGAAAAGAAGACAAGGGGGAGAGGGAGAGTCATGTCCTCCGCTCCCACCAGGGATGTTTCCAAAGAGTTGTCACAGAGGAGCCAACAGAGCAATGAGAGCATCGGTGCAGTCATCATATAGATGAGGACCTCAGGACCCCGTGGGATGAAGTCACACGGCCCCATTATAGGCAGAGCCCCATTACATCTGGACCCAGGCTCCTGAATCCTCTCCCATCACTGCTTTCCTTACTCCTACAGGCAGCAGAACACCCTGGGCCCTGAGCACCCCCTCTTACCCCCAGCAACAAGTCAGGTGCATACTTACCAGAGCTGACAAGGTGTCACTGAGGAGAAGGATGAGTGTGCTATGCATTTGAGCAAAGACTGGTCCTTTTATAAGGCTCCGTCTGGCTCATCCCAGGATCTGGGAGCCCTGGAGTCATGTTTTCTGTCTCCTTCCTGGACCATTGCCCCACTCAGGTGAGTGTGACACACCTAGGAGTGTGTGTTCAGCATGTCCCAGTAAAATCCCAGGCAACTCCCAAAGGACAACACCTAGAGCTTTCTTCTGTCCCTCACTTAACCTGGGGCTGGGGTGGGGAACACAGTGGGATGTGTCATAATAGGACAGAAAATTTGGTAGAGAAAACTGGGTTTCTGAACATAAAAAGGATGGGACTCTGAAAAGCAGCATGGTCTGTGTTTACTCATCACCCAGTCCTTCCACAGTTTATTCTGACATCTAACAAAGCTCTCTCCAGTGGTTAATAAGTCCTTACCTGTGCCAGGCATCACCTTACCTTCTGTATTGATGTGCCTCTTAAACCTTCATAACCTTATGAGATGGTGCTGTTACCCTCATGTCGAGGATGTGGAATTGAGGTAAGCAAAGTTCCTATGTCCGTGAGGCTAATAGACAGCAAGGTCAAGATATGATCCCAGAAAAGCCTGATTCAAAACCTCACTCCTAACCCCACTGCTAAACATCTAGGGTCACTGCAGGGCCTGTGAACTCAAAGTCCAGAGAGGGAGGCAGTGTTGTCTTCGTGTGGGGTCCTCACTGGAGCACTAGGAGGGAAAGAAGTGGCATGACCCACAGTGACAGATCAGGGAACACAGAGAGAACAGCACATCACCTGCAGGTGAGGGAAGATACGAGGTCAGAGCTCTGAGTTCTGGCATTAGCCCCACACTCTTGAACTTCACTTCGCAGCTCCAGGGGCTGCCTGGGCCCACCAAGGAAGCCACGGTCTAGACTCAGGGATGGTGACCACCATGAAATGAGCCAGGAGGAAATTAGGCAAAGTTGCCTCCCGACCCATGATGATGCCTTCTTATAAATTCCTCAGTGATGTTCCTCTTTCC